GTATCATGTTTTACGTGTATTGCCTTGCATTTTTCAGGATTAAATGCAAGCCTGTTTTGACTGCCTAATTGTGAAGTCAACTCAAGTCTTCTTGTAGAGAAAAGGTCTTCTTCGCTTTTGATTCGCCCCTAGAGTTTCACGTCACCGGCGAAAAGAAGGATTTCGGAAGAGACCTGCTGAGGCAAGTCGTTTATGTATATTAGAAAAAGGATGGACAATAGCGGTTTGCGCTGCACTTGCTCAACTCGTAGGTTGACCGCTGAGGGTCCCACTTCTTTAGTGAGATATTCATAGGATCTTGAGTAGGTGGACGGTGACGAAAAGATTTGCAGGTACTGGCTGGCCAGGAGTTCAGCTGCTTCGGTGTTGCTATTAGTCAGTCCGTTCTCACCTAGTAGTTGAGTGACTACTGCTTTAGCCTACCGGAATGAAGCAGCGTAGCGGAAGAGATTTTTCGGGTTAGACACAAACATGTTTGTAAGCCTGACTTGATGCCGCTGCCGATTGGCTCACAAGGCCTTCATACGCGTGTTTCTTGTCTGTTTGAGTTGCCTGTAAGTACATTCGGCGCCAATCCTTTTGTGTTCAGCCCAGTGACGTCTCCTTAAGTAGTTTGCAAGTGTGGTTCCTTATTATGTTGGGTAACTCGAGGCACTTCGGCCTCGAGAGTGGAACAGAATAACTGATCTCATGCATGATCTTTCAAGTATGAATTTCCAATCTGTGTTCGTATCTTGCCATGTGTGGCTAACTTCCCAATCTGTCCGTTCCAGTGCGGTTGGAAGAGCCGGAGTGTTGAGTCTTCTGAAGTTCCAACCATGCTCAACTATGGTCTGGTTAGATTGGTCTCTCAAACAAACTGGAAGCCGATGACAACGTGGTCATTACCGACCAATGGAGGCAAGATTATCTATCGCCCTAAAATGATCAATTATTTAAACTGATTTGTATTCATGCAACCTATGTTGTATGAAATATATATTTTATTATTATTATAAGCGAGATGAGGTTTGAGCCTCCCTAACTCGCGTTGCCGTTCTCACATTTTCCGTAAGCCCCAGCCCCTCAATCAAGTGGAAGAACTTGGCTCCAATGGAATCCTCACTCCCGCTGAACGTTTGACCTGCAAAGTTGACCTTCGGTAGGTCTCCCAAAGTCTCCTAAAATCAGTGTATGTGTGTGCCGCAGTTTAAGAGAGCAACTGATTGCCTCTGGCACCTCCCTGTCATACTGTAAGTCTGCAGAGGGCTTTCTGCAAATGACTCTCACCAAGTACTTTGTAGTCTCGGACAGCTTTATGGCGCACCGAATGGGCTCTTTGAGGCATTTCGGTTCATGGATATGAATTTGGTGGGCTGAAAGAGAGGAGTTAGCGTGGAGTGCTACCCCACCCTCCTACCAGCCTCCCTGAAACTGCGGAACAGCATGGTATTGGCAATCGCCATCTCCAGGTTTGGCATGTCAGGCGAAGCCCATGTCTCGGTAAAACCGATAAAGTGAGCATAACTGTCCTTACTTGGTTCCCGCAGCTTGTCTAGCTTGTTCAGTAAACTTTGTGCATTAGTGAGGATACAATTTATGCACTGCACTTGGGATGCATTGCCTGCACCTCTCTCTTTTCCAGTTGGCTGGCTCAGGGGCTGGGAATGTGCCTGATTGCTGCTTAGCAGTGTAGTGTTCCCCGCCCCCTCGCTGTTTTTCGCATCTAGGCAGTCTTCCAGAGGTACAACTAGTTCCGGTTTTTTCTGTTTTCGTTGCATCCTTTCGTGCTGCAACCTATCAGGTCGCACATGGACTCCAGATGGCAGGAGATTTCAGTTCACTCAGGAATCCTCCAGAGTGAATGCTGCCATTTGAGAGGTCGGAAAGACCACTTTGATCAGCTTTGGCCTGGGGTCATCGTCTTTTTCGGGCATGTGTGGGACGCTTTGGGTGATTACCTCCTTGAGGTTCATGGTATCCCTGAGGAGCTCCACTCGCAAGAATCGTAGTGGATATCCTCAGCGCCTGGGTTCTGGGGTGTGCCTTGCACTATTAGGTTTCCTCCTCTGAAGTAGGCATCATGATTGTCCCCCGACAGATTCTTTAGAGCCTTTCTCTCAGAGTGTGGGATGTCTGGCGGTGTCCTAACCTCCGCTCCTCGACATTGTCTGGGTTGGAGAATGTGAGCCTCAAAAGACGTGGTTCGCCCTTACTTATTGGATCGGGATCGCGAGAGAGCCTAGCTGCAGCTGCTGGTTTTATGTAGTCCAGCTTGCGTTTTCTGCATACTTTCTCCCAAAGAACTCTATCATTCTTGCCTCGAAGGCTGTTTCGGAGATCAGGGCTGTTTGTCAGGTTCATGATGATCAAGGAATCATTCCAGACGGTTGTATGTCTTATCAGCTGTTGATGCTGGGGCCCTTTTTGTTGAGCTTTCATCTTTTCTCCAGCTTCGCCCTCGTTCGTGGGCAACACATTTGCTTGTCTTACAGGCTCGTTAGCGACTCGCATGGTCTGCTATCCATTCCACTTTCCCGCGAACCCTTGTTTAGTCTCTCTGATCTCCAGATTACCCAACTTGGGTTTGTTCTCTGTGTTTCTCACCTTCCCAGACCCGATGGGTTTGACGAGTTGAGATTCAACTGTTTTTATTTCATACAATGGTTACCCAATGTCCACCTTGGCCATCCTTGTTAGGTATAACCTCTTCACTTTGCACCTCATCTGTTGATGACAAAATCCGAGCGAAGGACTGTAGGACAGTTGATGTGTATTGCACTACTGAGGTGCATCATGTCCTCCGTCAAGGTAGGCTCTTGCTCTTGTTGAATGACTTGAGCAATTTTTCCCCGGACGATTTTTTAACTCCATAACCCTCGTGCTTAGGCACTGCCTTTGAGTTTTTCCAGCTTCGCCTTTCAGCATTCTACTTTCAGTCCGTTTTTTAATTCCGATAAACATGCTGATGTTTTCAAGAACGTCGTCTAGTACAGATCTACACTTACTGCCAGGCTTACTGAGTTTGGTGTACTCAGTTTGTGTTACGCCAGTGCAAGCGCTATGGAACCATCTGTCGCATATGTCACATTGCATACCTACCTGAACAGGTTGACGACAGTTCTGCCTCTTGCACATCTGCTTGGCCACCATTCTCGTTAGAAGCATAAAAAGGGGTATGTATAAAAAAAATTAAAAATAAAAACTCTGGAGAAGCTTGAAAAAGAGTAGTAACCTAAACGTTATCAGATCAAACCAAAACTGGGACAGAGGTAAAGCCACGTTATCCTAGTATGAACAAAAATACATGTAAAAAAAGGGTAAACTCATCGAGCTGGAAGTCCAAGAGAATACTCTTACTGAAAACCGGAGCTATCGTTGCTTTTTACACAACAATAGGTAAATTGCCAAGTCACTGTAAGATTGCACTTCCTTTCAGAAAGCGCGAGACAGTCAAACATTAGCAAAGTTCTTGCTGTAGGTCGTGATGTTGAGGTGCCCAGAGCCGATGTCAACACCATAAGATGAATGGATACTGTTTTCATAGCAGAGGAAACAGTCTCCAAGTCACTGAGCAATCTCAAACCTCGAAAATCCCCCGGTTCTGTTTGAGCTGCACCCAGGATTGCTTTCTTTCCTAGCGGACATTGTTGTTGGCTGATCTTTTCAATATGACCTTATTCCAGACTCGCCTCCCAACAGGCTGTAAAGACACTATCGTCAGCACAGTTTTAAGGACTGGCAGCTGCCGATTGGTGGACTTCTATCGCCCTGTGAGTCTAACTAGCATTACCACTAAGGTTCTAGAAAAAAGTAATTCATGGCACGATGCTTAACCATGTTGAATCAAATAATCTGTTTTTAGGCCCCAGGAAAACATTGTTTACGTGTTAGACGCTCCTGTTTAACATTGGCCACTGCGGACGTTTCCCGTATTCGGTTGATGATACACCACTACTGCCACCTTTTGAACTGATAGATAGGTGGCCTCACAAACCGTGACTTAAAAATCTAGCACACTGCAACGCAGCCGCAGTAAAGTGATTCCATCTATTATGGTCCACCCGCAGAGATTCCAAGGTTTTCGATCAGGACATGTACAGGATACTCTATACTACTTTCATCATACCTCATTTTAAATGCCGCACTCATGCGGCCAGTTCATGCGTAAAACAGGATGCCGACGCACTGTGGCGTGTTCAAAGGGCAGGTACTAAGCTTGTGGCAGGCCTTTTGAATCTGCCTTAAGAGTATAGATTCGACCAGCTAAAACTATTCCTGCCGTCTTACAGTAGGAAACGATATGATCTCATACCGGTATTCCGTGTCTATAATGGTCATTTCGGTACCGATATGTCCTGTCTTTTCTCTCTTGCTAAGATTAGTTATCTCCGAAGTCATCCAAAACCCACGCTGGAATCAACTTAGAGTGAATCTTCATTTCCCCATTGTGTGGCCAACGACTGGAACTCCTCACGTCAGCAAGTAGTATTTTAGGATTTGTCCTGTTGCGAACTTGACAGACGCAAAGACCAATCACTAATTATTCGAACTTGTTATATACCCACGAATACGAGACCAAGGAAGAACACGATAGCGTAGTCGGATGGAATAGTATATTTGGATGGTTAAGCCAAAATGCCGATGCGTTCCAACTAACTGGCTAGAGAGTCGAATACGAGCAATGCAACGTAACACGACAGCGTGCCAAATGGCGAGGATGCTTGACCGGTTGCCTTCAGCTTAGCGAGTCCAGTTAAACTATCAAGGTCAGTATCAATGTCGAAAGTCGTCAAACCCTAGGCTATTGATTTTGGGGAAGTGTATGACGCTACAGTATCATAAGCTTCGGTCAACGCATTCAAGGAGAAAATAGTTCTTCACAGAGATATCTCCTGCAAGGATTACCACATGACAACTGGCCTACTGAAATAATTACTGAAACTGAATTTTAAGCATTGAACTATAGCACCTTTTCTGTTGTAATTGAAAGTTTAATTGGTCAGACAGTCATTATTTCATAGCATTTGAAGAAAGGTAGTGAAGACAACATCTAGTTATCGGCTTGTGAGAAAGTGGCATTGAATCTTGTTTGTATCGTCGAAATGAGCATTTCAGTTAGCTGTTTTTGCTATAGTCACATTAAGCACGAATTTAAGTTCTTAAGCATGGTTCGCGACATCTGAAGTGCAACTGTAATATTGGTATGGCACAGAACCGGACTGAACTTCCACAAATACGACCATCTAAGATATCTCTAGTTTCTTATCCTCATCAGTCTGTGGAATATATAAAAGAGATACCGAAATGTGACCGACAGAGCTTAGTTGAGTGGAGACTAGGCGTCCAAGAATCGATAACAGTCGGTATCCTTGAAAAAATTTCGCTTTTGAAGGCTGATATGATAGAACATCTTAAGAAGTCAAATTTTCTTGAACATGAACAGAAGTCACAGAAAGACCTACTAATTAATGAAATCAAAACGTTACTTCAAAGCATCGAGAAGATTGATCAAGAAGTTCGGGTAGGTTTCGTTTTTAGCGAACATGTTGACGTACAGGCCACTTATTTAGTATTTATATTATGATCGAGATAAATTAGACCTATGGTAAATATAACTTCTCGTAAAAGTTCGCTTATACTCTAATTCTAGACTTCTTAGGCTCCGAGTTGATGCTTCTTTACCTGAGTTGTTTACTTTGAATGTGTTCTGTTCCAATTTTAAATTGAGCCGGTTTTTTGTTTTCATTACTTACCTATCAAAGCCTCGTTGTTCTTTCCCAGTCAGGATTTTCGTCGGGTTAAGGTCTGATACAGAGCTTTGTGACATCTTCCCTACATCTAGCAGGATGTTTCTAGACCTTGCATTCAGCCCCTTGTCTAGCTCTAAGATTTTGCAGTTGACCCAGTGTGTGCCATATATTTTCTATGATGGCCATATATCTGGCTCAACGTTTCCTATATTTGCCCTTCCTCTAGCCTAATGTTTTCTGTTACGAAGTACAGTTTTGGTCAAGGAAGTGGAGGAGAAATCAATAATTTACTGTTAAAATTTGGTATCGCTATTCATCTTCTTTGTTCACTGCATTTCTACTCCCAAAACAGCTGTCTTCTACATCATCATTCATCACTGTTTCTGGTTCCTTGTCATTAGTTTATTTAAAAAAAGTTAGAAATGAAAAGGGTTTGCCAATTTGTATTTAGTTCCCCTCTGTATTCACCCACCTTAATGTTCAGGTTTATTACGAAGTCAAAATTTAACATCATTTTGGTTGGACTTTTTGAAGTCATCTCCATTTGTATTTTGAGTTTTGTAAAATTGCTTAAAAGCTTCTGCAAACGGGATGAATATTTAACTATTTATCTACTACTAACTTTTTATGTCAAACTTCATGCAGGTGTTTTGTATGCATATCTTGGTTTCATTTGAACTCCAGGATAGGGTTTTCATAGAGCACTCTTCAAGTAAATAGTAGAGTATTTTGCTGCTAGCTGACTTCCATGTCTTCAGTAATTAGCTTTGAAATAGGAGTAAACTGTCAAAGAATGAAGTTACGTTTGGGAACTCTGTACTCCTTGTTTGCCATCCGTTATTCTAGTTTCTTGAGTTCTCAGGGTGTTACAGGTAGGCATAGCTGGTTTTTATTCCGTAATCCTTCAGTGCACTTGGGATACTTGCTTGTATTCACTACGTCCATCAGCCTTTTAACAACTGGTGTTAAGTTCTTTAAACATGCTTCAGCATGTTGCATAGGTCAGGAAATACAATAATTACTCAAAATTGTGATACCATCTGTCTTTGTCAGTAAGTGAGATGCATTCAAGACTTGATGTGAATAATGTACAATATCTTGAGATATTATTCTCTCTCTCCCTCTCTCTCTGTATATATATATATATATATATATATATATATATATATATATAAAGTTTTATTTAGTTTCTCACTGAAAACACTACATTGGCTAGTTCTTATCCCACTTTTGCTTCAACTTGATATCTTGTATCCCCTAGTGTTACATACCTCTTGAAATATGTAGTTCAGTTTTTCACACCAGTTGGAACTGGCTGTAACGAAGTGCTTAGATTTTGTTATAAAAACACCATTAAACTCATTGAATTTTATGTGAAAATAATGATTAAAAGGATGGAGCATAAATTTACTTATCCACTGTGTGCCCTTTGGCAAGGGAAAGAATGAATTTTCATGAAATATTTACCAATGGTTTGCAGTACGATGTCATTTCCTCACTATCGCATACTTCATCGTATTGTTTACAAGTTTTAGTTTATAAGTGTGTAGCATAGGTTAGATGCCAAAAAGGTTTGCCCTGAGTATGCTTTTAATGCTCCTGAATATTTAAAAGATGAAATTTGTGAGATCTCAAAAATACCGACTGCTGATGAGTCAAACGGATTGGCGCAAGGCGGCTTCTGATTGTGGTCTGAATGTGAAGTGAACGTCTTAAAATAATCTAGTGACCATAACAGGCTGTCCTTTGATGGGGATGACATTCTTGGTTGCATGTGAGGAGATGACGGTTCTTAAAATGGTACAAATTTGCTTCGCAGCGTCACAAACTTTCTTCACATTACTTGTGATTTCCAGTCCATGACGATGCAATTCACAATAACTCCCAGCTACTTTTATAGCTGTTGGCTGTGTCCAGTGAATTGAACGTCTTAATTTTCGTAGAAATGACTCAAAGTGAAAGGTGAAATATGAGTCTAATGTATCGTGCAATTTGACATCTTCAACAAGATGCATTTAGCCATGAAGATTGTAAAATAGGTGTACCTCCATATGTATGCCGACAAAGTTATTGATGAAATACTTCAAATGCAAATGAATTACTTGGGCGAAAAGCAAGTAATACTCAGAATGACAAAGAAAATTGATGGGAAAAAAGTTCCATAACATTGTTAAACATTAAATCAGGTGTAATGCCTTTAAAAGTAATAGTTCCGACGTACAACAGAAACTGCCTGCACTCTGTAGCTTTCTTCTACTTGTTGGATGACATTGCTCTGCATTTTCTCTGAAAGTCTTTAAATATACTTTGTAAACATTGTAGTCATTTTGTGTATAAGTTACGGTCATTTCGACTGTACCAGTTGTCGATTATTAGATGCCACAATGAAATTCTAATCATTTCCATTTTCATTTAATTTTCGAAGTCTTATTCTATGAGAAACCAAAAAGATTTCGAGCGAAATGAAGAAAATAAAGTCAGAGCAATACAGCAGTAGGTGTCGTCAGATTATTTTAGTTCAGTAGAAAACTTAATGCATTTTATGATTTTCGCCCAACGGAAATTCGTTATTTAAAATAAGCTGAAACTCATCTGACAGTCGGGTGACGGTAGGCAGCTATTTAGACTTATTAGGGAAACTAGGGGGCGGAGAGGAAGTTAGTGAGTCAACAACAACTAATGGTGTACGGCGGGGACACAGTCACCGTTCATATTTAACTCCAATGGGCATAACCCTATGTACGTCTGACTTCACAGGGATTGACTTACTCCTTGAAGGTCATCTAGCTGACGATACTGTCCTGCTAGGTGAAGATGCTGATAAAATGCAGGATCTTCTGAATGCCATGAGCGGAAGTCTGTGTATGTTTGGCATGAGTTTCAACATCGGAGGATAATGCAAAATATTCGTTAATTTTGTTATTTGTCCTAATTTACTTCGCCAAGATAACATAAACGGAATACATCTTTTACGATGAATCATACTAACTCAGTGCCCAAGCTTTTACATACCATCCAGTTCACTGCTGGTTAGGATACACTCAAGTTTAGAGCTTTCTTCATGATGCTTAATTATTTCACAGGCTCAAATGCTAATTTTAAAATACCTGTGAATGTATCTTTATTAGTTCCTCAAACGTTTAGTTCAAGCAACTCATACAATATTTCTTTTTTCTTTCAAAATATGAAATGATTTTGTTAGAGATCAGAATGCTTTGGAAGCCAAACATTCGTCAGCAAGCACCCACACTCGATTGTATTAGAAAAGAAGATATTGTTGAGAATCAGTCACATTTATTTGCTTCGATTATGATTCTCCAGAGGTTTAATAGCCTGGAATAGCTAAAAATTAAATTTATCTTAAGAGATATGCAGCCCGTTCAGATCAGTCATTTATATGTTCTTCGCGCTAAACACCTTACTTTTACTTTGGCTTTTCCGTTTTCGTTGCGTATGTTTCTGCTTTATACTAAGATTGTTGTGCCCTAAACTAGATAATCTCTGTCAACGGAAAACTGCTATCAATTTGTGATACGAATGAAAGACAACCTGAATTCTTTTGTCGGGTATTTTCGTTCCGAAGGATTGAATTAGTCGATATTCTTCACGACTTAATTTGCTTTAGTAATCTAAATAGTTAGTGTTAGCTATAAAGTTAAGGGTGTTTCAGATTCATTTTGGGGTTGTTTTAAGACATTAAAAGGATCAGGAGAAGTTTAATCATAATCTATGTCTTAGTCTGAATTTATTTTATAGACATCTATTTACGAAAGAACGTTTTTTCTTGTTATTCAACTCCTAGAAACTTGTGGAACTGCAGGAATAAACACAATGAGCTTGGTGTGATGTAAATTTGTCTCAATATGTACACTGTTTTTTGTTTGACATCAGTGATGCAATTCTAATTCACTAGCTTACAGATATATATGGAATGAACATATTAGGCTCTGACAGGTAAATTATCATGTGAATCTCACCTAAGTGGATCGGATACATTACGTTTTCATCATATTGGGAATTGCCACTGGGAAATATTTGTTCACTGCTCGGTGAAGTAACTTAGAATCCATTTAAAATTGAGTTCTGAACTCAGAAAGCGGATACTGACTGAAATTTGCACTAGTCCAAGTGTTTTTGCCTTATTATTTCTGAATGTAGAGTTACTGTGGCAACTGTTCGCCAGAGTAACTTGATATTTTCTCACACTGACTAAAGAAACACATCCAAAAAGTGCCAGAAGTTTCAAGTGAAAATAACTCTCCTGTCATTTTAGATCTTTCTTTTTGTTGAAGAAAGCAAAATTTGCTAAACCTCACTTGCATGGCTGCGTTATTGGATAACATACCCCAAAAAAATATTAGGTTACAATATTCAGCAGTTTCATCTTTTGTTATTTAAATAAGACTACTTGAATCTGAGTCGTCGATGAATGTAATATGTTAAATAATAAATATGTCATATGCTATTTTAAGAAATAATACTGACTAGAGATTTATTAATGGTGACAGGCTTACCTGTTCAACCTGAAAATATTTGAATGGGTGTGTAGTGGACCCAAAGAAATATCAAGTAAACCAAAGCGTTAAACTACGTATAATTTACAAAAATAGATTCCCTGATACACATACACTGATACAAATATGAAAAGTTATGCGTTATAACACAAAATAGTAATGTCAATGTTATGGACAATAATGGGTTACTTGGATGTTATCTTTTCAATACTGTCCACCACAATTTAGTAGACTCCTAAGTTCAGAAGGCAATACTTTTCAGATCCCTAGAGTTGACGTTGGTTGTCTTGATCGTCGTGATATTTGGAGGTAAGATGAGAGGTCCTGTAAACTACAAGGACAATCAATGAGTATTCACGTAAGACAATAGTCAACGGATGAAGAAGTCGGATTGGATAGAAGCACACTATATTTCTACGTTCAAAAGCAGAAGCAAAGTCAGTAATACCGCCTCAATCAAAAAGAGCGCAGATAAATAACATTCTTTTTTACAAGTATTAGGAAGAATGTACACAATGTGTAAAAAGCGATGAAAAGGAAATATTATTTTAATTTAAGTGGTCTACACATAATTCCATGCAGTGACAGGCAAAGTGGTTTTAGGCTATAGGTGCTTGTGGGTAATAAACCTAACAAAAGGCTATGAAAAAAATCAAATGTTCAGCAATACTTTTAAGCAGCGGGTAATGACGATGAAGAATAGTACTAACTCATCTGAATAGATCAGGAAAACATCGGGAGAGCTGAATATACAATGGGTAGTCATCTATACTGTATCGTTTTACTTCGGACATTCCGTACAGAGATAGACTCTACGTAGCGTTGAGAACTTTGGCTAAGACAATAAGCTTCGCTTTTATGATGAACTGGTTTCCCGTTATTTTACAATTAATTGTGTATTTCATTGAGACCATTGTCATTGCCATTGCCATCAGTAGATGCTTGTTTCAAATTTGCTTTCAGTGGTCACAGTACTCTGATGAATTAATATACCTGGCGGAAGTTCAAAATGTATTTTGACTGTGATACTCAAGAAATCCAGGGGTTCGGACTCAGACCTACCTATTTTGGTCTTGGCAATCGCAAGGTATTCTAAGCCCAACACCCAACAAATGTGTTTCATAGCTTAGCACACGGACGTGTACCGGGTTGAGTTAATTGAAAAATCGAAGTATTTAGACATTAAGATAAACAGTTGGTACGCTGGGGCCACCAATTAGAACGTAAATTCAATGACGATTAGGGAGAAGAATATACGGCTGTAGAATAATTACATAAAACAGTCATTTACAAACATAAATAAGGGGAGCTTTTGCTTTTTTGTTTGCTAACGGTTAGCTTCTATGCAAGAAAAAGTAAGGCTGCAGCACAATTTGCTTATACTGTAATACAGTAAGCGATAATTAAGAAGTGCATAATCACAAGTTTCTGTCCTGTCGATTTCGAAATACTTTGGATGTCAGTTCTATACGCAGACATTATATTGTATTCCTCTCAGAGCGGAACAATGTAGGTTTTCGATAGGATGAAGGACACAGAAACGTATACCGGTCATCAGATTTAGCAGGAATAAAAACATTGTTTAACTGTCTCACTGACTAGATCTTTGATTCAAAGGCTTGAAATCTACTTAAAATCATATCTTGCTACATCTGGCAAGTACCGCAGCCACCACACAATTTTCGCCAAAATGGATAGAAGAAAATAAAGAAAATGCGGGACTTGAGTATGCATATGAAAGTTTCTGCTTTACTTGGATTCTTCAGAAAACTCCGTTCTTCTATGCATCAGGACCTTTTACTCTTAAAGATTTATGGTAAATTTCTGGTTTTATTCAGCGTCAACACTGTGTGTTTAGTTATCTGATTTCTGTACAGTATGTGACTTTTTATCCTGAAAATGAACACCATAATTTATCTACATTTATGACTAATGTCGAGGTTCAACGCGAACTTGAGCCCAGAAGTAACCTAATAATTGATGTACAAAGCTATAGATCATGACAATTGTTTGACTTAAGGTAAAAGTGTTTTTTTTTTTTGGTAGTTGAACTGCTGATGTTTGGGTGTATATTTTAGTAGTCTATGTTTGTGAATGGTTCTTAAAGGTTGTAGCTACTTGATTGTAGCTGTTTGATAATGAACACAAGTAGTCTGAAATCTAGGATTTATGCACATTGGAAAACTTGGTCGACTCAATTATGTTAGTACTTAAAACAACTGGACAACACAACAGATTACTATTTGTTGACCATTCAGTCTTATTTCTTTATATTAATTATCTGATTGGTTTTGTATTAAGTTCTAGATCGATATGTCACTTGCTGAATAGTGCAACAGATCAGCTTCTAAAATATTTGCAACATTTCGTGATTGTCTTTTTTCCAAGATTCATGGATCTTAACAGTAAAATTTACATTCATAGCTGCCAACAAGCAATGATATGACATTTGTTATACCTAACTGCGGAAAATTGAAAAGTTGTTTTGTGTTGAGATTCATCAGTGTTAACATATCATTGTGAATGATCAAAACAAAGAAAGCTTCAGGGAAGTAAAACAGAACCGGCGATATTTCAGCAGCCTACTGAGCCATTATTTGATGACTCGAGTTGTGTGTACTGGGACGTGAACCAACAGCATCTGGTTATAGAGCCTTGTAATTAAGGATCCTATTATTATTATTATTATTATTATTATTATTATTATTATTATTATTATCATTATTATTATTATTATTACCATTATTGTGATTATTATTTGTCCGTTGGGTTCCCAGTGGAACACAGGATTTCAGTAGTACGTTGCCATTTCACTCTGTTCTCTACAATCTTTTTGACCTGGCTTCACGACTGCCCAGAAGCTTTCACTTCTTCCTCACACGGTCTCCCTGTTACCCTTGGCTCAGACGCCCAACCCGTCGCTTCCCCTTTAGGTTCCTCACCTGACCTGACCTGGCCTGGCACGTGGTGTCCCCAAATAGTCTTCCCAGTGTATGTCCAATCCAATCCAATCCATCTCCACTTTCTTCTGCATATTTGTTGGGTGATGGATTCTTGGTTGGTTCGTTGGCAGGCCAGAGTGAGTTTCTTGTTCCCTTATTCTTTCTGGCCTCCTGATCTGATCTTCAGTATGGAGTGAGCGAGCGTAGACGCAGCTGTTGGTGTGTGTCTGTAGTTTGTTGGAAATGCTTTTCGTGACGCGCCAAGTCTGTCAACCATCTTATAGAATCACTGACTTGACTGACTTTATTGTTGAAAATCCGTATCTTGTTCTTTATACTGAGTGTAGTGGAGTGGAGTGGAGTAGATCTGCACACTGATTTCAGGTTAATGAAGGTCTGTCTTGCAGTCTTTCCGATTCTGACTTTGACATCCTCATCTGTGCCTGTGCCGCGTGTAGTTGAAACGATGCTGCCCTGCCTAGGTAGGTGAAAGAGACAACTTGCTTTATATTTCTGCTGTTGATGGTGATCGGTGCTTGTTGTTGTTGTTGGGTATCTTCATCACCTGAGTCTTCTCTACGTTCACCTGAATGGAGTCCGATCTTCGCTTCCCTGCCTCTTCTGCCAACTTGTTAGTTTTTGCCTGTAGATCTTCGACGGAATCCAAATTTGCTAGGGTATTTTAATCGATCTAGCGTATGCCCCTTTTCAAAAGTGATATTTATTGATACTAGTCCTCATCTGATGGACAGATGACTTCTTTGTCTTCTTCTGTATTGTTTCACACTGTCTTCGTGAAATCATACAAATGTATCACGTTTTCTATTGGTTTATTCAGTTAACTAAATTGTGCTTAGTTTCTTAATGCAACAAAAATTGGGCATTCTGTTTTTTCAAGTGTTTCTAAGGAATTTTTAAATTCCATTTGGGGATTTGTAGGGATTTATTTGTTGTTTCCACGTTGAGATGTATCATAAAATGACATCAGTTGGTGAACCACTGAAAACCTGGGTGTACTAAGCAGCTGTTTGGTCCTAGTACGGGATTTCTCATCAGTCTGTACCCATGACCGTGCTAGAGATCGAGTCTGGGACCTAGGGGTACCATGTTAAGTACGTCACCATCACTCCACTGGGTCACAACCTTATGGTCTGCACTTTCCTGCTTCTATCAATTCGAAAAATAGGGCGACTCATCCAGTTCTGTTGTTGGGTGTCTGTCCTCCCTTCCTACTTTGTTTGCCCCACCGGTCATAACTTCTCACTAAAACTTTGGGAAATCTCATCTCGAAGTAATTCAGTAATGAGCAATAGACAGTAATTGACTTTGGAGGTCTGTGGGGATTTATTGATTCCATTTTAGAGTAGTCCTGTACTAAAACAAAACTGCTGTTCAGTGCTCACGGGCTTTCAATGGTTCTCCAAATGGTGTCAGTCCATGATGAATACCAACTTGAAATGTTTGAGAATTTAGTTTTTATCATAGTCATATATTCACTATATAATGAGTAAACCTGACTTCTTTCAGGACATTCATAACAACTATGGCCTGGATGTTTACAACAGTGATATATTATTTTCTCAATACTATCTGTCAGTGAAATATTCATTTAGACAAGGGAAATCAATAATTCTTTGCAGTTTTTCCATGGTGTTTTACCATTTTCTTGTAGTATCTTTGTTATACACCTCATGTGGGTGTTTTTTCAATTGCAAGTACGACAGTGTGAGTTGATTCATCTTCGTATAAACCTTCTACTGTACTGCATTTATTTACCACTCTACCTTTTAGAATTTTGAAGAAAATGTACGAGATAAATGGTCTACAGTAAAAGATGCAGCTATAAACTTAAAAAATTTAGAAAACCATCACCTGACAAGCCTGACGGATGTAAGGTGAGAATATGTTTGGTGATTTTATCATCTTGTCTTTGAGTGCATAAGGTATTAAACGTATTGTTAAGTAGATAAGTTGCTTTTACTTTAGTTTACTGAGTGTAGTTTAAAGACTGAACCTAAAAACCTTTGATGCTTCAAGCCTGGAAAGTATTTCTACCTTATTTAAAAAATTTTGAAGCATAAATCTGTTCCACGAGATAAGGACGTCAAAGCCAGAATCGGAAAGACTGCAAGACAGACCTTCATTAACCTGAAATCAGTGTGCAGATCTACTCCACTCCACTCCACTACACTCAGTATAAAGAACAAGATACGGATTTTCAACAATAAAGTCAGTCAAGTCAGTGATTCTATAAGATGGTTGACAGACTTGGCGCGTCACGAAAAGCATTTCCAACAAACTACAGACACACACCAACAGCTGCGTCTACGCTCGCTCACTCCATACTGAAGATCAGATCAGGAGGCCAGAAAGAATAAGGGAACAAGAAACTCACTCTGGCCTGCCAACGAACCAACCAAGAATCCATCACCCAACAAATATGCAGAAGAAAGTGGAGATGGATTGGATTGGATTGGACATACACTGGGAAGACTATTTGGGGACACCACGTGCCAGGCCAGGTCAGGTCAGGTGAGGAACCTAAAGGGGAAGCGACGGGTTGGGCGTCTGAGCCAAGGGTAACAGGGAGACCGTGTGAGGAAGAAGTGAAAGCTTCTGGGCAGTCGTGAAGCCAGGTCAAAAAGATTGTAGAGAACAGAGTGAAATGGCAACGTACTACTGAAATCCTGTGTTCCACTGGGAACCCAACGGACAAATAATAATCACAATAATGGTAATAATAATAATAATAATGATAATAATGATAATAATAATGGGGATCTGTCACGTGATATTGATTAACGGAGGTGAAGAAGGAAGATAAAATGTTTACCATATTTTCCTTTTCCCGGAAAATATGATTACATCAAATGATTCACGTTGGACAACTAATGTTTGACTGATAACTATGACTGTCTAATGTTAGTGATGAAGTTTTACTGATCTCTGTAGTGTATATTTAACTGTTTGATATTCACTTTACCGTTCAGGCATCAAAAATTTCCTTGCTCGAGGCCAGATTTAGTTTCTTTCATGATTGTTTTATAATAAAATTATTATTTCTTTCAAGAGCTAAACTCCATATTATTTATTCGACTTTTTAAGTAATAGTCTTCTCAGCCTATAAAATTTGTTTTTCACAGGTCAGTTTTTTATACCGCCAACTACTTGATGACAGTCAGTACTACGTTATCTGACCCTTGAGTATTAAACAAATTTCAACTTTGAGGCTTATATTGTAACCATTGAGCACTGCATTCCATTGACGGGAAGCTCTGACATTCTGTTTCGTAGGATTTTTGTACTCACAGATATCTTGTGTCTGTTATCTTGAAAGAAGTGATGTGCTCATAGAGATTTGAACCCATGTCGCTTACTACCATCAATTCAAGATTTCACAAATGGATTCCCTTTACCGTTGGCATTTTAGAAATGAAAAGTTTTTATCAAATAAACAACCTTCATATTTTCACTTGTTAATTTAAATGAAGGAATTCGACGGAAACGTTTTTTGGAAATTAAAGACTTCAGCAAAGTAATGGAAGACAAATCTGAAGTTGACAATAATGAGATTAGCAATGTCACATCACCAATCAATAAGTCAAATTGGACTGTCACTCTCAAGTAGAGTCTTAAGCTCAACAAAAGTAAAGGTGCTAGAGGTTGGCTGTAATGAATTGAAACAGGATGTCGTTCTTTAGATAAGACAGTTGCAGATAAAGTCAGACAAACAGACACAAAATCAGCGTAGAATTTCGCACAAAGGTGTCTTGGTTCAAGTTATCACGCTTCATAGCAGCATACAAAGAACAAGTGTATGTAAAACAAATGACATTAAATTCCTCAAGGGTCTTGAAACATTAATTTCTACAGTCCTGGTGGCCACACCCACATAGTTCTACTTCCCTACATGGTTCAGACCAGCAGTTGGAGACTTCATGAACTGGTGCAACGTCTCCGTCCAGCCACCCTGAACCCTCTTCCAACCTAATTCAACCTCTCCTAGCATGGTACGTCGAGGTATGTGATGGCTTGGCATGCACAACACATGTCCAAACCACCTTAGTCGATGAAGATTCACAACCTCATCGACTAACTTCCCTTCCTTGCTCGGTATCCTTCTTCTGACCTCGAGACTTCTCACATGGTAATTCCACCAAACGCAGGCGATGCTATGAAGACATGTGGTTAAAAATCTAGCCTCTTTGTACCTTCTGCCTTCCATGGCCGTGTCTCACGGATATATAAGAGAACAAAATGGACTGAAGGACAGTATACTCGTCCTTTACTAAGTAGTCGGGTATATCGTAAATCGGCGCCACATATGGTGTGAGTAGACAAAGGCCAAGCGAGGCTTCTTTATCCGAGCTGAGATCTCATCAGCAGCTATCTCGCTCGGGCTGGTGCAACTCCCCAAGTAATTGAAGTGGTCAACGCATTCTACCACGCAACTGCCTATGCTTAAACTTGGAGTAGTAAGAGACTAGTCTTGAAGTATCATCTTACATGTGACATATGCAAAATGCATGGCAAGCGTAGACGGATTTTTGTCCACCTCGTTCAGAAGACCCTGCTTTTTATCGTCAAGCAGAAAAACGCCGTTTGTGTACTCCAAGTTAATCAGTTGCCTTCCAGGTTGTAAAACTATCCTTATGAATTCAAACGTACCTAAGCTTATATCCATTAATACACCTATAACAAAGCTGAACAGGGGCGGTGACAGCCAGCATCCCTTGCAGACACCACTGCCGTTGTCAATTCAGATTGCAACTCTCCAGATGAACTAAGAGCACAATATACACAAATATTAAAATGACAAAAGAAAATGAAACCAAATTTACCGAAGCCAGAAACGGAAGGCTTGAAAAAACTTGGGAATGATCAGTGTATTGATCGCCAAAGCAGTTAAAGGCAACTCAATGGTTGTGTTGAACAAATCTGACTACATTTTCAAAGTGAACGAACATATGAAAACAGAACCATAGCAAGAAATTAGGAAATCCGTAAGGGATCTAATAAGCGGAATGAAGTCGAAATAGTTTAATGCCGAAAACTAGTGATCTCAGTAGAATTCATAGTATTATTAAGATTTACAAACCAGATTATCACATCTAGCCTACAGTAGATTTTAAAAGCGTTCTCACTTGTGAGTTTAAATATTTTAAATATTTAGCGGTGGTACTAGGCTCAGTTAGAAACAGTTCAAAACTGATATTCTCTTGTTCCAATTAGGCAAAATAATTTAATTTATTAAATCCCTTGTAATAATTGGGAGGTCAAATACACGGTTAAAAGTGATCTACTTGGGTCAGTTGGACCATCTGATCACAGTAGTCTAGCTAAATCAAGGTTAGTAGAACCTAGTAGGATAAAGAATCTAGAGAACAGCTCGGATGTGGGTATACACTCGTCTGCAGAAAATCCTAATATAATGTAACAGAGCGACAGTATTAAAAACTAACTTAAATTTGTCAAGGCGGCGGCTGATAACGGAATCTTTTTTCGAATCATCATTAAATGCATGCAATAGGAATGATTTAGCACCTGTTTCGAATACATTTCAAGTTATGCTACCCATATCAAAAAGGAGGAGAGAGAATTAAAACTATATAAATCATGTCTAAAAGTTACTGAGTCACCTTGATATAAATATAGACAATAAATTGTGTCCGAAACTTTATCCAGTTAGTCATACTGTTTCACTCTATGATGCATCTAGTAAACAACGTAAACTGGAATTCGTAACTTGTATGTTAAGTTTATTTGTTGTAAAGGTGACAATACTTAGTAACTATCTGAACTCAGGTAAATGAGTCGAGACTGGAAATCTTGATGTAATAGACTAAAGTTGAGTGATCAAACCAATGCGTAAGCTGCTTAAATAGTGATTCATTCCACAAACGTTTGGTATTTACAGAACAAAATGCCTAATGTTTTAGAAATTATTTCAAGTTGTTATTCATCGAAGACTGACATCAGTTGGAGGAACAAAGGAAACCTGGGAGCACTGGACAGCTGTTTCGTCCTAGTATGGGACTCCTCAGCAGTGCGCACCCATGACCCCACCAGCAGGGATCGAACCCGCGACCTTCAGGTTCCGCGACCAGCGCGTTACCATTGAGCCACTGGGTCAGATTCCAATGCTCCATATTTCCAACTTCTGTTAGCTCACGATTTAGAAATTAATGTTTTTAAAATATGAGGTTAACTTCTTTTGTTGGTTCTACGTCCATACTACTGTACCGTAGAATATAGAGGCTTGTATGGATTTTATTGATTTTAAGTTGTTATTCATCACTGACTGACGTCAGATTTAGCTGAGAAATGTAGGTTGGTTGTAGTCAAATTAATGTAAGTCTGTTCATTTTTAAGTTGTTCAGATAAAATGATGTTATACAGTACGTAGAATATAAGAAATTTCTGACGGAAGTGTCAGAAATGTGATTAAGTGACACTCTGTGTTACTGTGTTACTCTGTATTTCGGTATAGGCAGGGAACTGTACACTTGCACCAAAATAAAGTACGTTGCAGTATCCTGTCATTCAGCCTAGTGATTACCCCGAAAACAGTACTGAGCAATAAGGTCTAGATATCTGTATCGGTTACGTAATGTTGACCAACTCATGTACAAAGTCCACTTGTACAGAAGCTCAATCATTACTTGAATGGCTCAGTGATGAAGTCTGTAGCTTCAGCATTGAGTGATACAGGTCCAAGACACCGGTGGAACACTAATTTCCTCACGGTTGTAGATACGCCTTACTGATGGATGCCAAAATGCAGGAAACTTGGGATGGATTTCTCTTTGACAGGTTTCCAACATCTCTGATACTTATTTGGTACTATGCTGCAGAATTCATTCTTGATCAATTTATGGACTCAAATATTTAGCCTTTGTGGTATCGTTCTTGTTCCTTTGCCATGTAACTGAGATTCTTCTTTTGAAATCTATTCATGTCATAGTCTTAGTATTATTCTGTTATTATGCTTTCTGATTATGTAACTCAGTCATCCGGAGATTAATTCTCAACATTATTTTGAATACTCCTATTTAAGCATTTTAAATAAAGGACGGAATGAACGAAGAAATAGTTCATTTCACTTACATCTTTGTCATCAGCTTTGTATTAGTATATACCGGTTTTACAGTTGATAACAAAATACCATTTAAATCATCACTAAAACAGTTTCGTAATCCTAATTTTCAGTTGGAAAGTTCACATCAATGCTGTAGACACTACTCATACTGTTTAAGTTTCAAGAATGCATTAACTCTTTGCAATTTCGGTATTAATGAATTTTAATAAATTATTTTTTTTTCTGGTTTTCTGATTTTTCTGATTGTATTACACATTTTATCGTCTGTCTAATTTTTTTTTTGTGTGTGTATATGCGCGTACTCCTTTGAGTTGTAGCTACCTAAACCAGTGAGAATTTCAATGATACCGGACATTATTCTATCTCAATACTTTTATTTAATCTAAACAAATGTAGACTATGGTGAATGATCTCTTTAATTTCTTTTTTTTTTGTGAATATTTATTCCCTCTTTCTTTTTTTCTCCTAATAAACTATAGAGGTCGCATAACTCGTTGTGATCAAGCAATAACAACTTTATCTCAAAGAATTAATCAAACAACTGATGAAGTCCGCCAACTGGTAGATATTCATAAACAGGATGCAAGTGAAATGAATAGTCATATTAAGTTACATGAACACAAGGTAATAAACTTGTTGATTTTCATTTCACATATTAATATTCCATCTTTCATTTTAAAAATGCCGCGTATTTATTTTGTCAGTTTGTTCAGTGAATTTATTCAGTAATAATTAAAATCTTTTGAAATAGTCTTGATTGAAAGAATTCTTTGATATTGGCAGACAGACAGACAGACGGACAGAGAAATCAACGTAGAATCTTGAATAGATGTGTATTGGTTCAAATCACCACACTTTACAACAGCTTGCAAATAACAGGTGAGTAGCAGAAAGTTGTATTAAGGTCCACATAAGTGTGGAGAAGGGGAGAGAATTAGATGGTGAGTGATATAATACTGTGCAGATGAATGAAGTTGCAGACATGCACATTAAATAAGCGTAGAACCTTCAACAAAATTGTGTTCATTCAATTTTCTACGCTTCACCACAGCACACAAAAATGAAGCTAACAGAAACAATATGATACCAATATAATGGAAGTTGTTGCGACAGGAGAAAAAATAATTAATACAACTTAATGAGACGGCCGGAATTTCGAAAATGGTGAAGCAGTATGTTTGATCTACTGCAGTTTCCAACCTTTAATTCCTATACTTTGGACGGTCTCAGGAAAACAGTTTAAATTTCTCCATATAGCTCACTGATTTCTTTCTTATACAATTTTAGTTGCCAATAAACTACTTACTGGAGATGACTTGTAACGAATTCCACTAATTCACCAATAATTAAATTGATTACAATGATGTCATTCAGTTTCATATATTGACGTGTATTAGTATTATATAACAAGGAGTTGTAATTCTATTTCTGTCGCATATTTTTAGGTAAAGTTAATTCGTTTTTAGTATACAGTGACATTTTGTGCTCCGTCAGTAGAAGTAGGGTGAATATGGAAGCAATAAAGAAACTCAAGAAAGGATTATGACCACCGCAAGATAAAAGAATGGACTTACCTCTTCTGTACACAGAGCTCAGGCTTTGATCGTTGAACTGTAAAGCCTCTGCTATATAAAAGTGACGAATCTGCACTTCTTTCGAGCCGTTTGGCTGGACTTCGTGTAGGATTTTGAAAGAAGGTTGTGGAAAAGTGACATGACCAGAGTTGACCAAATGATCTGAGATGGAACTGCTACTTGACTTGCGTTCTCCTCTGGAAAGCCACATAGGATAGTGCTCAGAGATGCGTTTGGAAAGACTGCGCTTTGTGCAGCCTACATAACCAGCTCCACAACAACAGGTAAACTTATAGACACATATGAATGTGTCCCAAAGTGGAAGTTTGTCTTCCACCCTACCTTTAATCAACTGTCAGTTTGGGAAGATAATTCACAATTCGCCAGCATAGAATGTTTTTCTGAATACTTTGGAGAGACGAGTCCTCAGTATTTTTATTGCGTTATCCCTTTTGAATTCAATATTCATAAATAAGGTCTTCTTAGGATCAGTAAGAACTTCTTATTTTCGTCGTTTTGGTATCATGTTTTTTTTTCGATGAATCTTGGGGGATAACCATTTTGAAGAAGTACTTTCCGAACCTATTCCAACTCATCGTCTTATGTATTATTTGTGCATATTTTTATGATTCTCGTGTAGAGAGAGTGAATGAGGTTCCTTTTTAAGCTTAATGGTACCCAATTTTGGAAATGAGTGAACTGTTCACTCGAAGTTGGCTTCGTATATACTAACTTTCTTAGGGAGATGTCAGGTCTTTTAAACCAGATATCAAAGAAATGAAATCCTGAGTTGTTCTTAACTTACATCGTGAAATTGATAGACGGATTACTCTCATTGAATTTAGGAAGAATGGTATCAAATCAATTTCTTCATCGCGGATGATGAAGGTGTCATCTATATACTTTCTATGTAGATGGAACTGATCAATAGTTGGATATAACGGTTTTTTCCAAATTAACTGTGAAACAACCTGCTAAAGAGGACCCAGTGGTGAACCCGTGGTTACTCCATCTTTTTGTTAATGAGATTCCTCACTGGACTCGAATTTTAGACTAAAAGTTCATAGTAGAAGTAATTCCTTTAGATAATCATTTGGTATACCCACCTCTATATTAGTATTTTTCATGTATTTACATAGGAAACAAACAGTCTCTGTAAAAGGAACATTTGTGAAGAGTGAAGTGACATTCAAAGAGAGCATTCGTTTCCCAGATACATTGAGGTTACTTATTGTCTCGACGAAATCAAATAAATCAAGTGGTTTATCTGTTAACCAGGTTTCTCACTGATTGAAGAATTCTAGTTATTGACTTAGCAGTCGCATGATATGGAAAATTTTTCATATCTAAAATTGACCGGAGAGGGACATCCTTTCTATGTACCTTCGACAGACCACAGAGTCGAAGGATTACAGAACCTTATGGTTTCAAATGTTCAAATAGATCACTGCTAATGATTGACTCGTTTTTCATCTTTTTAAGGATTTTGGTCAAATCTGCTCAATTTGTTTATTTTTTTCTTTCTGAACAGTTTCTTTTGAAAATTTATTTTATCTGATAGTATAAAGGATACATTGATTGGTCGATAGAGTTCGATCAGCATTTAGGAATAGGCAACATGAAGTTAGTTACTCTTCAGTGACAAGTCAATGTGCCTAATCCTGTCCTGCATAAGGTGAGTCGCGGCCCGAATAGTCCAGTTGCAACATCTTTGATTGTAGCACTTGGTAGCTTGGATTCGAATCCTAGGCAGGATATCAGTTCCGTAAAGGCTGCAGATACACCTTGCTGATGAGTGCCAAAAAGCACGAAATCTAGGTCCAGGGCTTCCTACCAATTACCTCCATCTTATTAACACTTATCAAAGTATGAAGGACAACTTTGCAATACAAGCATACCAGTCCATGAGGACGATGCAGGAACCCTTTTCAGAACTAAATCAACTTTTATCAATACCTTCAAACCACTCACTTTCATTCATTACATTTACTACCTCCTGATTCTCTTTTTTAAGCTATTATGAAGGAAGATAATCAAGAGAAATATACTTCTGTACTGATTTGTCAAGATTTTTGTATCAATGCCAAACAGTTCATTCTACTTATACTAGGTGATGATTGAAGGTGAAATAAAAATTTGGACCACAGTCGGATCTCATAGCTCAGTTGGTAGAGCATTGAACCTGAAACCCAGTGGTCGCTGGTTCGAATCCAGCCGTGGTCCAAATTTCAATTTCATCTTCAATCATCACCGAGTATAAATACTAGTCTGCCAAACTGGCTATCTCAGATAGTCAAATGATAATCAAAACTTCATTCCACATCACATTTTATGTTTGATGAATGGTAACTTTTATTGGAAGAGTTATTAAAACTAATATACATATCTACCTTTATAACGTTTGTGTAAGTTAAAGGGAGGGTTAAGTAAATATATGATGTTTTGAAACTGAAAATTACAGGATCTAAATTCTAAAGGAAAAAAGCTGTGTCTATTCTTGGAGGGAATCAGATATGAAAGTGCATAAAGTAGGGCGACTTAAATCATAGTGGTATCTGTTAGTGTATGTTTCAGTAATGTTTCTTTCTCATGTCAGATAAAATTCAAATTATTGTTTCTTTCTTAACTTGAATGACCAGTATGACAAACAGTATATAACGGAAGGAAATCAGTAACAGCAACATTAGTGTCAGTAAAGACAACCATAAAAACTTAGTTGTCAAGGTGCGAAAAATTGAAAAGTCACGTAATACATTGATATATTTACCTCAGTTGAAATCTTTGTATCTCAACTAAAATTACTTATTTAATCTTTTTGTTCATGAATTCAAATGATTGAAAATGAAATTTTTTTTGAATCTGGATGTGGATCCCTGGCTGAAACATATCATTGTCCATCTTAGTTACTAGTAGTTTGATGTCTTAATGATTATACCAAACTTCATAATATAACTTAATCTTATTTAACAACAGTATTATTACTACTTGCCAATAATGTAGCAGTTAGGCATAGAAAATAAGGCAAAACGGGTTAACCAGTTGCGAAAATTCATCTGTCAAGGTGATTGTGGCATGGGGTTACACATGCTTAATTACTGTCTACCCTGGCGGACTTTAGTATCTGAAGTAGGGTTAAGAGGGAAAAGGGTAAAAGTGAACAGACTAAAAGTTGGTATCATTCCATAAAGTCTTTGACTTTTTTTCTGACCTGTGTATGAATTGTAAACTTGTAGGTTGCGTTTTCCTTGATAACCAGAATTGATGATTAGGAGCTTTAGGTGATATTTCTTGGAATCGACTTCAGTATTGTAAATGTAGCCATTCATTATCCTTACCCTTATCGTTCTATCACATTTTGTCATTTGCTCTAATCTTTCTTCTTTTTGTTTTATAGCTTCCTGAAACGTTTGATTTCGTAATTTTCTTTCTTTATCTTTTGTCTTATTTTCTCGTTTCTCTTGATATTATGATGTGTAGTGTAGTGTGTAGCAACTTGAATCATTTCACAGTAATTTCAAGACACGGGTTAATACTGAATTCTTAGATACTCTTCATGTCAGTCAACAGGTTTATTAACATTGGTACTGGTAGCAGAAATAGTGGTATCTGTCATATATCAGGAGCCAAAAAGCTAATGAAACTGAACACTTGAACTAGTCTCTGAAGTATTACTAGTCACCCTAACTTCAAACATGAAAGTATAGTTATACAATAAAAGGTTAGTTGCATACAAAACAAAGGTTTTATATACTGGTGGCTGTGAGCTTTATGCTTCTTTTTAGAGGATTATTTTATCCGATGAACATTGGATTAAGGAAATCTTCTCTAATCTTAGATGCTTACAGGTTGACTACGAATATTTTAGGCAATTTTCACCTTCTGATTACCACAGTGATCTATTGTTATCTATTATGTGTTGTTTTGGTCACAATTCACTGTCTGCGCTTATCTCAATGTTATACTCAATAAACTAACTTCTAATTTCAATTAAAATCTGAGATGTAGAAACGGAAATCCTCTTAGTTATTCAAAACTTGTTCTGTTAACCGTAAAATTTAAGGATCTTATGTCGAATCTAGTTAAAATTCTGCTGTTTGACTAGAGACTTATGAATTTATTTATTTGCTTGTTTGTAACTTTAGTTTGACTGATATCGTTAATGTTATAAAAGTCAAAACTATTTTTAACTACTTATTATAAGCCATGGAGGCGTGCTACTGAAGCCCTATGTTCCACTAGAAACCCAAGGGAAAAATAATAATCATAATACCATAAACTTAGATAGGAAAGTAAATTCCTTTTGTCAGATCTTTTGAAAACTTCAGAATTTGTAACTTTTTGACATTCTATTTTTCTTTTCCTTTAGCCTCTGCTGCTGCTACTACTACTATTTCTATTTCTACTGCTTAATTTCTTATTCAAGTAGATCTTTTCATCTAACTGATTAACTAAGTAATTATATTTTTCATTTCTCTTTACGAATTAATAATTTATTATGTTCACTGATTTACTCACTTATTCAGTCGAATTCTGATGTACGTAATTTGCTGTGTTTACATGCAAATGTGGTGAAAAAATAAGTGCAACGATGTTATACTTATGTATTATTGCCTATAGTCTTTGAATTTTTCCCCAGAAGTTTAAAAACAATATCGTCCCCAACTTTCATGACAGTTATTTGTTCACTGTCGTCAAAAGATATTACCAAGCTGATCTTTGTCTGTTCTGTATTGTACGTCCTACCTATATATATATATATATATATATATATATATATATATATACTAAGCGGGACGACAAGTTATTTTTGACTTACTGAGGAAATAAGTAAAAAGCGGGAAAATGTTTACCTAACTTGATGTTTTTATGTATAAAATAATAACCGTTATACGAGATATTTGCTTATTCTCACGTTTTGTTAAACAATATTTTTAACTTGGGATAAAATTTCTTGAAATTAAGCCTTGTGACTGAAATTCATTGAATACTAATATTTTTCAATAGTTCAAATGCCTTGAAACTAACTATTTGTTCTCTCTTCATTTATGTTCTTCGTTTCCTCATGCTTGAGAAATAATTCTTCATCTCGGAATTATGAGCAGCCTAACACCGTCCACGTATTTGTACTGTTACAGTGTGACAGGCTGAATCTGTCCACTGTTGTGTGGAGTTCTTTATTTTATTTCTATCTGTTAAGTGTAATTCAACTAACAGCAAGGGTGTAGATTTTTAGGTGAGGGACATGTACATTTATATACCTGCAGATAAAATTGAGTGCATCTGTTGACTTGAATGTTCCAAGCATGAATTTTGAGTGGGTACCTATCGCTCACTGCCTGTGGGTTATGTTAGTCAGGATAATTGGAAACAGAGGAGAGATTTATATAGATAAGTTTTAATATAATCCCAGCGTGTTTAGAAAATCGAAAACAAAATTTTCTAAACACACTGGGGTTATATTAAAACTTATCTATATAATGAATCAACCTGACTCGATGCTCAACTTCTTTCAAAGGAGAGTTTTGACTAGAGAAAACAAGATAAGGTAGCGAACGTTGAAGTCACTGATTGTTGATTTTTTTAGTGAGTTAGCGTAAATTGTCGAGAAAGGGATTTGAGAATGGTCCTCTTGTCCACTTTTGATCCTGGTAATTACAAAATCTTTGTAAGAACTAAATTTTTCCTAAAGGTTATGTTCTTCTTCAACAGTTATGCAAACATACTATTTTCCACCGAAAATGAATAAGGTATTGTACACGTTTATCGGAAAATGATTTTTCTGGTAGCTCGAAAGAGAATTCAAACGTCACTCAACATGAAAATGAAATAAATCGTAGTTGATTCCGATGAATCTGCTAAAGGTTTATGAGTTACTTTTTAAAATGCATACAATATCCAGTAGCTAAAAAGTTTTTTAAGTATGATCTATATCTTCAAGCTCACGCAGTCGATTATGCAACAAGTAATTCAAGTCTAGCTTAAGTTTAACAGTTTTCAATTTTATGTACTGTGGTTATAAAAGCCATATATATATATATATATATATATATATATATATATATATATATATATATATATATATAAACAAATATTGATGTCGGTTTCCGAAAGTGTTTAAATGGACTTTTATCCCTGCCTCCTTTATAGTTCGCTGAAATCTGTAATCAAATCGACCGAGATAATACTAACTTTAATTCAGCTGTTCAGCGTGTTGAGGAAACATTGTACAAGCAGATAGCAGATGTTGAAAGACGAATTCAACAAAAGATTGGTGAACTTCAGCATGAAATACAAGCAGCTATTCAGCATTGCCTAGATGAAAGAAGATGTTTAGAATCACGTTTAGTTGAGAATATGCATACAATCACAGGAAAGCTTGAAAATCGTATTGTACGTTTGCTTTGTTTTATTGCAAAATTGTTTGCTTTAATGTACTTTAAATGTGTTCGAAACTGATTATGAAATCCGAATATTTGTGTTCATAAGTAGATGTGAATTTTTTTGGTTGGAATGTATTATTATTAATCATTCGCACAGCATTCAATGTTCAGAAGACTGCAGAAATGAATGATGAAAAAATTTACTTTAGGATAGTTTACGATCCTTGTGTTAAATTCTTTTGGGAAGTCGTAGTTGAGCAGTTTATAGTATATCAAACTCTATGAGATATATTTTCCGTAAAAACAAACAGTAATGAGAATATTTGCGGTTAAAAAGTTATTATGCAACGAAACCTATTAATAAGCATGGTAGTAGTGACAGAACTGTGACTCGTTGGTCTGGACAGTAAACTTATAACCAGTGAGTCATGAATATCAATCGCGTTCCACCTATAGAGGTATGAGTAACCAGATATTGTAAGTAGACGTAATACAATTAGTGTGAATTGTTGCCTATTGTACGAATATGCATTTAGCTGTTGAAAGTTCGACTAAGTGATTCTGGTTCAAATTTTAATTCAGAAATCGCCTTTGTGTTGAAAATACTTTGAAAGAAATGCTTACACAAGAGGGAATGGTAACCAATTTTAAAACTGTGTAGAGAATAGTATGTAGTTTAAGATTGATATTGAATCTGTAGAAAAGTTTCTCAGTGTGTGGTGTGGCTGAAAATGATTCTTAAATATTTCATTTTTCTACCGCTACTCGTCTCAAGCTTATCTTAACACAAAGTGAATTTAAGATCATTTTATTTATCTCTAGATACCAATATATATATATATATATATATATATATATATATATCAATTCAGCATCAATTTAACCCTTTGGATGTTTGAAATAAAGTAATTCTTCAAACTAATGTTATTTTATGTTGCTACTTGCATTATCCAGTCGTTGATTGAACCGAATTGATCGATCTCTGTATTCCACTGTTGATATTATCCATCATTAGTATAAAATTGGGACGCAGGCAGTATCAAGGCATCCGCACGCGAGCACATATGCCAATAGAGACCGGTCAATTTGGTTTAACCAACTACGGAATAATACAAGTAACGAAACAAAAAATTCCCCTACTCACAAGAAGTGGCTATTGTGACTCAATGACCAAGTGAATAACTCTTTGGGGTTTGAAGCGATTGGTCTCGAGTTCGAGTCTCTTTCGGAACAACAACACTCACTGAAAGACAGGTGCCTCCAACTGACTGGTCCAAAATAAAATGAAGCGTGCAACCTGAATTTCACTGCTAGTCACTATCCATCAGTAACATGATAATGTTATTTCCTCCACGTGAATTTCACATTTTACCGTTTATCATTAAAATTATTTTCCCGTTAACACTTTAGAATATAAAGACATAATTTATGCCACTACTTTCTATTTGAGTTGTGGTCAGAATTTATATCCGATGAACTTGACCTAAATAATAAAAAATATGATGACAATTTCGTTCCGGTACCTTTCTATGCAAGCACTTTTAAAGTTTTCTAGTACCTGCAGATAATATACATCTACTTTGACTTCTAGCACTAAATTTCATCTAGTTCAGCTACAACGAACTGTTTAGCTCATATTTAGTCCTTGTGTCTTATATCACATACCTACTCTAAAGGGATTAGACTTTTTCGATGAATATAAAACCTTATGTCTTTATGTTTTGAAGGTTATTCTATGTGGTTAGAACATAAAACAAAGTGGGAGTCTACTGTTGTTAATCTGTTTTTACTTTGAAATATGTCGATATGTTTTTATTGTCTTATATCAGCTTCGTCTAGTTAGGTGGTGAGTTTGTTTTTAGGTCATATTTATTTCTTTCAACTAGTTTTATTTGGATAAAAATATACCATGAAACCCTTTTGTATGAAGTTAGTGCTGAGGAAGTGACCAAGTTTGATGATGTAATGTCAACGACAAAATATGGAAGCTCAGTGGAACATTTAACTACCATCATAAAACCTTTCAACCTGTTATAGTCTTTGTTGATTGAAAGACTGGGAGTTTCTGGAAATTACCTTAGAGAATCAGATTAGAAGTCAAAATAGTCTGTAAATTAAATCACTTGAGAAATTTCGGTACTGAATTATTTCCCTAATAACAATGGAACAACTGAATGGGGATTAAAATGTCCATACTTTTACTTGCCATCAGTTACCATTAGTTTTATCAGGAATAAAAGCACGAAAGTCTACAACACATAGTTATAGTTGGTGGGTTTACTTGACTAGATAGTGGTTATCTGAAGAGTGGATACCTGTTTCTTTCAATTAGACCTAAAGAAGTCAGTGGTGCAATCAAATTTACTCATTGTTGGGTACTAAATTTTGCAAACGTTTTTTGTTTGTCTTGAGTACCGTAGTAAACTGATGAAAACTGCAGTCAATTTAATTTTTACTGGATTGTAAACCGTAATCTACAAGCATTTTTTCATGTGAAAATGTTTCAATCGACGGTAGATAAGGTTATGAAAACCACGCAGTGCGTCAAAGTTGTGCAAATTTTTCTTAATGCAAGGTGTCTGTCCAACTGATTCAACTTTGAAGGGTGTGAAGTTGGTTATACAAGATAACTTTTTAAATTTCCTTTGACTTTCATTGGGTTATTCGGTTCTTATTAGCCACGCAAAGTACTTTAAAAGATAAGATTAGTACAAGCTTTTACTTAAACTAATATTTATTTGGAGTAAAGTGCAGATCATATAAGGAGGTATCTGTTGTGAAAATTAACTTGTTTTAACACTTAGATTAAAGCTTTTTGACAGGAGTTTCAGAAAAAGCAAAGTGATCGATAGAACGTGACCAGCACTCAGGAGTAGACAATCAGTCAGTGCAACTAATGAAGTCAAACAGGAGTTTATTTGTTGGGTATCTGACTGCAGCACTGGTTGACATGGGTCAGAACCCCATAAGGTACATAATTTCCCTCAGGTTTGCCGATGCATCTTGTTGATGAGGGAAATGATGTCCCCTGTGGGGTTTTGACGAGTACCAACAGTCAAAACACCTAGGTCCAGGCCCTCCTGCCGACTAACTCCAAAAAACCAACAAATGATAATTTTCATTGTGGTTTAATCTCAGGCGAAATTTCCCAGACAATATAGTCATGATTACGACGGAGAAAAAACAAGATGAATATATGATTGAGAAATGATTGCGGTACATTTTGATGAAAAGACTTTCAAATGGTTTGGATAGTCGCATACCATGCCACTCCAACTATTATCTATTGTCATTCGTCAACGAGTTCTATTTAAAAAATTGCGAACTGGTTTATTATTCCTACAGAATGACAGGAAAATTTACTGATTGCTTTAATGATTATACAAAGTAACCGAATTGGTACATGGGTAGCACTCAGTGAAAACTAATTGACTAGACGCGCGATGATTGTTAATTGGTTATATTATTCAATGTATGTATTCAATAGTTGAAGTAATTTGGCAGTTACTTCAACACTACGGACTGCCACAAATCTTTATCAACCTCATTCAACAGCTATATAACAATCCCACATGCCAAGTGATCCACAATGGAAAGCTCAGCGATGCGTTTGAAGTAAAGACAGAAGTAAGACAAGGCTGCCACCTACTATCACCCATGATCTTCCTGATTGTGGTGGACTGGATCATGCATTAAACCGTTAGCAGTGAGAAGATGGGCATACGCTGGACCAATGAGAAGACCCTAGAAGATTTGGATTTCGCCGATGATTTATGTTTAATATCGCACAAACTTGAAGATCTGCAGGCGAAGACTAACAAGTTTACAGAAGAGATAAGGCGATGAAGGAAGCCGGGACTTCACGTGAATGTAGAAAAGATGGAGGTGATGAAGATACCCAACCAACAACAGCATGAACAACAAGCACCAATCACCATCAGCGGGAAAAACCTAAAGGAAACAGTGTCTTTCACCCACCTAGGCAGACAGCATCGTTTCAACTACAGGTGGCGGCACAGACGAGGATATCAAAACCAGGATTGGAAAAGTAAGACAGGCTTTCATTAATCTGAAATAAGTGTGGAGATCTGCTGCACTCAGCTTAAAGCGTGAACAACATCCGGATTTTCAGCACCAACGTCTAGTCAGTGCTGCTATATGGTTCAGAAACTTGGCGAGTCACGAAAAGCATTTCGAACAAACTACAGACATTCATCAACATCTGCGTACGCTCGCACACTCGATACTGAAGATCACATGGCCGAAATAATAAGACTAAGCAACAAGAAACTCTGACAACGAACCAAACAAGAACCTATCGCCCAAGAAATATGCAGAAGAAAGTGGAGATGGATTGAATATGCACTGAGAAGGCCAATTGAGGACATCAAGTGCCAGGTTAGGCCGTCGAGTGGAATCCAAAGGGGAAACGATGAGTTGGGCGTCTGAAGAGTGGGTGACATGAAGAAGGTGGTATGTGAGGAAGAAATGAAAGCTTCTGGGCAGTCGTGGCTCCAGGTTGAAAAGACTTCAGAGAAGAGAGTGCAATTGAAGCGTGCTACTGAAGCTCTATATTCCACTAGGAATGCAAGGGAAAAAAATAATATACTCAAAAGTTTTATTTATGATGCAATATTAACACAGGTTGCAGCCATTGTCAAACCGCATTTATGGTGATATTGGAAAAGCTTCTTTCACTCTACTTTATCACATTTTAAGCTCATTTACACCTTTAAGATCTGTTTACCGATGTAGCTGTTATGTGTATGTGTGAGAGCTCTGGTCTGTAATGAGTTGAATAATATTCACACGGACTAGTAGCAGTTATTTCTAGTAAAAGTAATAGCATTAGAAATAATATTGATTATAAACAACTTTCAAGTGGGACTATATCATTTTCATGTTTTTTACAATTCTTATGATTGTGATGTTTTTATTTTTCTTTGATGTTATGCTTTCCGTTTTTGGATGTAGCTTGTTAGCTACCATTATTTTTATAGAATATTTTTC